ATGGGTGCCTTTATCAGGGACTTGAAGGAGACGTTCAAGAGCATAGAGTACGTATATGTGTGGCACGCATTGTGTGGCTACTGGGGTGGGATTCGTCCCCATGTCCCAGGGATGCCTGAATCCAGGGTCATAGCCCCTAAGCTCTCTCCCGGGTTGCAGATGACCATGGAAGATCTGGCCGTCGATAAGATTGTCAACAACGGTGTGGGATTGGTCCCACCTGAGATGGTTCAACAGATGTACGAGGGGCTTCACTCACATCTACAGTCCGTCGGAATTGACGGGGTCAAGATGGATGTAATTCATGTAAGTTCTCCTTACTCTTTTAAACTTTTAAAATTAACACATCCTACATCTTTAGTTTATTCTCATTTCTGAGTCTGATCTCATCAAATAAGCCTTTTTCCTGATTTAGCAAAAATAAAATGGGAAGGTGTTAGAAACAGCGAACCTGAGTATCGAGCTTTCTCCAGAAAAGTCTGGACTCTGGAAACTCGTATTTTGTTTTTTGTTTTTTTTTTTCTTTGTAGAAATCTAGAAACTAGTTGGCTTGCATTCTTGTAGGACATGCATTAATTAGGAGTCGTATCTTATTAGACGGTGACGGTGAAAATCTCTAGTTTGGAAAGAAAAACATGAATCGGGGTGGCGACGTGTCACTCGCCTATCCCCGATTCGAACAAAAACTGCATTTTCAAGCGACGGTAACAGAACGCTTTACTTTGTTTGATGCAGCTGCTAGAGATGTTGTGCGAGGACTACGGCGGTAGAGTGGAGCTAGCCAAGGCTTACTACAACGCCATAACGGAGTCGGTGAGGAAACATTTCAAGGGCAACGGTGTTATTGCAAGCATGGAGCACTGCAACGACTTCATGTTCCTCGGAACTGAGGCCATCTCACTTGGCCGCGTCGGTACGTAATCGTAAATCGTAATGTAGCAACCATTACTATTACTAGACTTCTAGTCCCCATCACCACCTACCCGTCCACTCCAATTCATGAATTTCAAGTTTACCAAGTTCTAGAAAGCTTTGGCATCTTTTGCTTGGGTACTGTTTGGCATATTCGAGATTATTCTAGGGGCCCAATAGATGATGTCTTACCAATATCAAGCTACAGGGATGAAAGAAGACCATATGATACGATGGATCAAGGATAAGGCTAAGGCCAGCTTTTGATCTATTTTATGAATCCATCATTCCATGATCTGATTGGATAAAGATTCCAAACCAAGTCAATAATTTGTGCATGGTGTAGGACCCTACGTAGGATGTATACCACTTCGTCTGTAAGCTCTGGCCTAATGCTGCCAAGGGGCGAGTGAGCATATTGGGGACCCCACCATTCACCAATTACCTTGTGTTGGTTTGTTAATTTGCTTTGTACTGGCACTGCAACAGGAGACGATTTTTGGTGCACTGATCCGTCTGGCGATCCAAACGGTACATTCTGGCTGCAAGGGTGTCACATGGTGCACTGCGCGTACAATAGCTTATGGATGGGGAACTTCATACACCCTGATTGGGATATGTTTCAATCCACCCACCCCTGCGCAGAATTCCACGCTGCTTCCAGGGCGATTTCTGGAGGGCCCATTTACGTGAGTGACTCCGTCGGACAGCATAACTTCCGGTTGCTTAAGAGCCTGGTGCTCCCCGACGGGTCGATTCTCCGGTGCGATTTCTACGCACTTCCAACCAGAGATTGTCTCTTTGTAGATCCACTGCATGATGGGAAGACAATGCTCAAGTTATGGAACCTTAACAAGGTATTATTTTGGGCCTAGAACCTGAGCTATTATTTTGGGCCTGTATGGCCCATGCCTAAAGTACTCTAGCTGGATGGGCTGGGCTGCCATCTATAGGCCCATTCGCTCTCAAAGGTGCCCGATAGATAGACTAATTTTTATTTTTGACCTTGCAACAGTTCACTGGAGTATTGGGAGCATTTAACTGCCAGGGAGGAGGTTGGTGCCGTCAAGCTCGGAGAAACAAGTGTGCCTCCGAATTTTCTCATGTCGTGTCGGGTACGATTAACCCGAACGATATTGAATGGACAAACGGAAAGAAGCAAATTTCCATTGAAGGGGTACAGGTGTTTGCTGTTTATATGTTTCAGGAAAAGAAATTGGTGCTCTTGAAGTCGTGGGAGCAGGTGGAGATTTCATTAGAGCCTTTTAATTTCCAGCTTCTCACAGTTTCTCCGGTGAAGTTATTATCCAACCAAATCCAATTTGCTCCTATTGGATTAGTTAACATGCTTAACACTGGTGGTGCCATTCGTTCACTGGACTTCAATAACGAGACAAACTCGGTTCGAATTGGAGTGAGGGGAACCGGAGAGATGAGGTCGTTTACATCAGAAAAACCAAAAGCTTGTCTAATTGATGGTGAAGAGGTACCATTTACATATGAAGAACACATGGTTGTGGTTCAAGTTCCATGGTCTACTTCTTCTGACTTATCTGTAATTGACTATCAGTTTTAGAATCAGGGGGTGGGGATCGGATCCACCAAAATGGATTGGTGTTTGAATTTTATGGAACCAACTATATATGTAATCTTAAATAATCTCTTAACTCTTAGTTATTATATTATGTTGTGCATTGTGCAATAACTTGTATTCATTTTTCACAAAACTACCGACTATGATGCCCGAAAACTTGTAATGAATCAATAAACTAGTATGATCATCATTTTGTTTTCAACTTCAGAGACTCTTTGATCATTATTGAAGATGATGATCGAATATCATTCGAAGTTCATCGTTCACTTTCTTTGAAGGACGGTGAAGCCCTGGTGGATATCGGAGAATATTATTTCAGTCTTAGAGTGTCTTAACTTGGTTAAATTTGCACTAGTATAAATGCATGGGAGTGCAAATGTAAAAAATGCAAATTCTTGTTTAATTTATTTCATTTGTATTGCAATCAAATAAAATAAGATAAAATTTGTAACAAAAATATGTCGGAATTTACACTCAAATCATTTGCGCTGCCATGGTTTTGCATTAGTGCAAATGTATTTGCATTGCAACCAAACAGAACATTAGTGTTTGCTTGTTGCTTAATTCGGTATGTGTATCAAGAAGCAAATCAAGCGGCATATTGGTCAGCTCATAATGCTCTAATTTCACATCAAAACCTAGACAACAAAATTAATGTTCAGAAACAATTAAAGAAAAACCAATGTTTGAAACAAATCCATCAAAGAGAAAAAAAAAAAAAAAAAGAGGTTTCTCAAAAGCAGTAAAAAGAGAGAGGATAAATGATGCCTGTTTATTGACTTCAACATTGATGGCACGCTCGATAATGTTCCAGATTTTGCCACTCTGTCATGATGATAAAACTTGTGATACTGTGAATTGTGCCATTAAATTGTACATCCACGAGGTATATAATTAAGCAGGAAATAGATGTAATGGATAACCAAAATAGAGTTAGAAAAATGCAACATATTTGCCATCCTTTGACAAAGCATCACACAACAATAAATGGGCGATATCCCACCATTTTCCAAATTTAAAGTGACCCATTTAAGCGGAAAAATGAGTTAATTCATGTCAACTTCTTCTGTCAAGAGAAAAGTCACACTTGAGGCTAATGGTAATACTCTTCAGGTAAAATGTCTTTGAGCCAAGACAAAGATGACCTCCATAATCTAGATTCCAAAACCCTCTTTTAATTTTTAGAGATTCTCTTTACCCATGAGGTTTTACAGTCACAAAATTCACTTCTGGGATCTTTTTGCTAAAAATTTATATCATCTAAGATATCACACGCCTCACAATTCCAAAAGAAGCATGCCAAAAAGCTTGGTTGATTGCCTAAAATTCTACAGTTTCTGAGTTGGACTCTCTCTCACCAAAATCAACCTCAAGGCAAAATGCAGAAACTTGTGGGATTGGATTAAAAGTCAATTTAAAGTGGAATCGATGAACATCTGGACATCAACCAAAGACAACCTCATTAAATGGCGGAGATCTGAGGTTGAATTTCTGGTTTCCTCCTCTTTTTGATATTCTCTATTTCTTCTGCATTTATAGGAGAAGTAGGGTCATTACATTATTTTAGTTTATGAGTTGACTTCATTGAAAAGCGTGAACTATCTTTTGTAATCCAAAATTTTTATGTTTTGTTACAATTCTTTTCTAAAGAAACAATCGATTTCGGAATTCAATCAAAAGATTGAACTGGTACTATATTTTATATCTTCTCTTAATCCTGGCGACCACTTTTACGTACTCATATTCACTGTAATCCTTTTGCAAAGAAGCAAATTTTGACTTCTCACTCTATGCAGCCTAATGAAGATGAAGAAAGAAAAAATTTTTAAAGCACGAAAAGTGTATGTTTCTTCCTTAAGCAAATCTTTTGACAGCAAGATGGATTGGATTCATTGCAAATTGGAATGGATACTTGAGCAGACCCTTAAATGATTGAGATTGAAAAGAGGGAAAGTTCATTTTCGTGAGAATGAACAGAAAAGAAGGAAAATATAGTTCGAATTTGGAAGAATGGAAGCTTGAGAACTGAAGATAGATGGTTGCTAGAGATTGAAAGAGAGAAGATAATGGAGAGAAAATTTTCTTTTGAGTAAAACACAATTACAAATGGACGTGGATTTGTGGGTAGAAACGTGTCTAAACCAAAGAGTATCTACTTTTTGAATGCTGCCCCTGTTAGATGCCGCATGGCTTACTACCCACTCTCACATTCTGAGAAACTAACCACTTTAACTCTTTTTGAGGAGTGGATCGACTTCTCTTTGAAAATAGAGGAACTCACTTCTAATATACTATTTATTGAAAATTTAAAAAACCATACACACACACATATATGATTATATAACATACGACACTTGTATAGAGGTAGTTTTGAATTTGCAAGTTAGTGGTCTATCTAAGTGGAAAACTGAATAAACTCCCTCCTAATTTAATTTTTTATGTATAGGTGTCTGAATGGAGGTTCACATGTTTGGCTGGGGGAAGCTTTGGCTTGAATGGAGGTTCCCAGTAGGGGCAATTGTCGACACCAACTTCTACCTATATTCGCCATTGCATGTGGTTTAAATCACGGATACACCCTTGCTAGTACACAAAGGTATATGATACTTTCAACCATGTAGATAGGGGTGTATATGGATTGAATTTGAATCCGATCAGGCAATATCTGAATTTAAATCCGATTAAAAAAATCGATATTCGAATTTGATTCGATATCTGATAGATATTGAAAAATAATATTCAAATTTGAATTCGACTAAATATTCGATTCAATTCGAATTTGATTAATTAATTATTTTAGGCAATTAATAAATATTTTATTTATATAAAGTATATAAATATATAATTTAATTATTATATAAAACATTTAAAAAATTATATAATATATATAAAAATAAAATAAACGACCGAATTCAAATATTTATTGAATTGAATCAGATTATACTCAAATTCAAACCCGATTAACTATTGGACATGAATAGGATATTCAAATTCGACCTATTAAATATTTGAATTATGAAATAGATTCGATTATGTCAATTGGAAATCGAATTTTGGAATAGCGTTGACAACAGTGCAACATGACCATACAGTTAATAACTGCCTTAGCTCATACGGATCGTGGCTCCAGCATTCCTCGGCCTCCCCCAAGCCCAGTATCATGTTATCATCCCATGCAATAGCAATCGCAAGGGCATTTAGATGTACTGTTAGGTGGGTCCTTCCGTGCCTTATCTTATACCACGTGTGTTGAACGAAAGCACATAAGCCAAGATGAAGAAACGTGGTTGATGATAAGAAATCAATCAAAATGCTAACGACATCGTGGCGGGCCTATTCCCACTCTGTAAGCGGCAGTGCGGGACTCTCTGGAGTCTGGAGTGATTTTGCAGTTACCTCTCTAGTCTCTACCTAAGGAACCTTGGTCGAGATCAGATTGGCGCCCCATTTAGGTCAACACACAAACGCCCCACACCACCTATCGCCCGTTTATTGGGAACATCTTCCCATGATAATTACGGGAGTCGGGAGATGTTCCCAATGCACGCATGTTCATGTTGGGGGGGTTGTGGGGCGCCAATCCGGTCTCGCCTGGGTCCCATTTCGTCATTTTATTTCTTTTATCTATCTGTTGCCAATTACAGAGCCAAAAAAGGAACAGAAATAAGAAAAGACTAGTAGTACTCTAGTAGATTTCTCTCCGTTTCATTTTCTTCGTCGGTCAATCGAAAGATCTTGGAACTTCTGCAATATCTCCGAAGCTGCAAAAGGTTTATTGGATCTACAGGTGGTGTTTCAGAAATCGAAGCTCCATGAATTCGTCTCAGTTCATGGATAAGCAGGTCATGGGTCTTTCGGGATCCCAAAACAACGATTTTTTTGACCTTCTCAATCCTCATGAAGAACAAGGCGGTGGCGCGAAGAAAGAAGAAATCTTGCCCAGCTATGATTTTCAGCCCATTCGACCCACTGGACTTCCTCAATCGCCAAATCACGAAGGGAGCAATGTCGGGGGAACTAGGGTTTGGAATTCGGCGGATTCGAAGGCTACCGCATCTTCTCAAATTAGAGTAGGTTTTCTATTTCTCAGTTTTAGTTATTTCGTGAAATATTTAATTTGTTAGGGCTCGTGGCCTTTTTATCTCTTTAAATTTTTAAGTTTATGGTTTAGGGTAAATTGACAACACTTTGTCGTTAATTTGTTCCGGTAATGTCTTAGAAGTAACTTGCCAGGGAGTTGTTGCATTAAGAGGCTGCTGCATCTTTATGTAATTGTTATAGAATGTATTCCATCAGTAGATCTTAGGAAGTTTCTCTTCATGCTTCTCAAGTGGCTTTGGAGAATCAGACATACAAAAAAAAAAAAAGAAAGAAAATAGCGGCACAAGTAGAGTGGTCAAATTAAATTGCATAAGTTTTCCTCGCAAGCGATGATTGATGCTTACGTCTTCATAAGATGTGATGATATACTGCACCATATATTGGTGCTGGTCTTGTAGTAAGATCCTTGAATAGAAGAATGCTGCTGTATGTAGTATCAAATGGAAATTGGACTTATACCCTGAATATATAATAGGGTCCAAGTAGTGCAACTAAGGGAACTATTCTGTATCTACCTGTGTGAGAATAGGGCATATTTATATGGTTCTTGGTGGTAGGAAATTGCTAATCTGTATTTAGCAGTCTATTGTTCTTATTACCACCCAAGCAAATATCTATTTTCTTCTATATAGAGGATTCCTCTTGTTTGAATTAGATAGTGCATATGGCCTTTAGCAACTCGTAGCATTATTGATACTGACTCTGCGTAACAACACTTTTAGTGAATATTTTTCTATGAGAGGATTTTTTATACATAATTGATTTTCTTTTACATGGATCCAGAATCTGGCTTCTAATATTAATACCCTTGTTGTTTAGGATGGGATGTATTAATTGATTGTGTTATTTGTCACCCGGTAGGTTGTTCAAATTACATTTTTCGTTTAGAGTTGCTAAAAACTAGATTCCAATCTCATGTTTCCTAACAGCTTATGGTTTCATTTGCCTTGTTGAAATATTTTAGGTAGCAATCTAGCTAAAGGATTTTGTATGAAAAATTATTTATTAATAAATCAGAGACAAATATGTAGTGTGCAAGTTCAAATTTCAAGTTCTAACTTTTTTTCTGAATCAGTTCTTGTAACAGTTTAATTGGATAAAATCTTCTCAATAGTATACATGGCCATATGAACTGGATAGTTAGCTTGAGTTCTTTGCAAGCTGTGATATTGGAATGAACCTTAGGTTTGAACTGCAGGAAAAGATGTTTAGGCCTGTAGGCTTCTATATATCAGTTGTTCCATTGAATCCTCTAGTCATAATTTTTGTGCATCTAACTGATCCAAATCTCAACTCCCAACATTTCCTTTTCATTGTTCTTGTAAGCTTGTTGACACCCTTCTCACAATCCCTCTCTTACCTAAAAAAATCATTGATGCCAGTCACCATATGCTTTCAGTTATATCCTGTTTATTGTTTTCTTCTTAGTGCTTTTAGGTATCAGTTTATCTGAATTTGAATTTGAATTCAATTCACTTAAGGGTGACAAGAATTCAATCAATCAATAATTGGTAGTATATAATATATTATTTATTAATATATTAATATTTATAATATATAATATATTATTTATTATTCAAAATATAATATTATATTATATATATTTCTAGTATTTTATTATATATTTATATATTTTTCTATAATAAATATTGTAAATAATAAAAACCTGAAAAACTGACGAACCGAACCGACGGTTAACTGAACCGGCCAACCAGTTAACTGATCGACTTTGTTTCGGTTTCGGTTACCGGTTTTCCAAAAACTAGTAACCCCGGTTTGGTTTCAAAGAATAGCCCATGGTTCGGTTAATTGGATCGAACCATGAGCACCCCTAATAATTGGATCGGATATGGATCCACCCCTAACCAAGTCAATTCAATTTGAATGTATATGCTTATATATACTTTAAATTTATATTCTATCTATAAGTAAAGTTGGTTTGAATGTTGTGTTTTTACTAGAGTCATTGGTTTAAGCTTCATAAATTTTATTTTCAATATATTTTGTTTATAGTATACAAAATCAAAGTCTTTTTTTTGTTCATTTTATTAATAGTATATAAATTTTTATCGTTTTCAGTTTAATTTATTAATGCTATACAATATCCTATTGCAATCCAAATTCAACCTGAATCTTATTTAAATCTGACGGATAAGATTCAATTCCGATCCAAATATAACTGAATCAAATTTGCATCCACCTCATTTCTGATTGAATCCAATCTGTTTGCAGCCCTATGTCTCTCTTGACCTTTGTTCTTTTTTTTTTTTGATCAATAACACTTTCATTAATTCATCAGTAGAAAATTTACAAGTGGAAGACAAACACACTTATCTTCCAAGAGTCACAAAGAACTTCAAGAAATGAAAAAAGAAAAAACAAAGATACAAATACTGGTTTTCATTAATAACCTTTTACATACCATTCCTCCATGCGAAGAATTTCAGTTCTTCTTCCAAATTTCATTTATTTCTTGAATCCAGATATTCATCAAAATTGTGGTTTTCTTTAATTTTAAATTCCACCAATTCATTCTAGTGCATCTATTAACTCCACTTCTCTTTAACATCTTGATGCGAACACTAATGACTGTAAATTCTATACTGTATGGTCAGATGTTTGTGTCTGCTTATGCATATTTGTCCTGAGGAAAAAGAGGTCTATTTAGCTCTGATTTCTTTTCTTTTTTCTTTTTTTTTTGACAAGTAAACTAGTTCTGATTTCATTGACAAGTCATCTTCATAATCACTAAGCCTTGTTCAAACTATATGGGGCTGGCTATATATAAACCCTATTTTGTCATCCCATTCTGTACAGTATTATATCCATTGTTAAATTATGAATGCTTAAATAATTTCTTATTACTTCCACCCAAGTCCTTTTTGGCCTGCCTCTGGCTCTTCTAGCCCCTTCAACCTGTAACAGATCACTTATTTCATTGACAATTATAGGTGCAAAAAGTTCTTTTTAGTCTTTTTCAAATGCACTCTTTTCTCTAAGATCTTAAGTCCTCAATTATGTTCTTTTATGGTAATCTGGTTCCCCTCTTATAAACTTTTCCTTTATTTGTGATTCTTGAATTAATTCATTCATTGCTCCCTAGTTGCTTTTATGACTCACAAGTCAACTCCACTCCTTGCCCTTGTTGAACTGAATTAAAACTCAAGTTTGGTTAGCTATTATCTCTCCTGCATGTTGGCAGTAACGTGTGTGGCCAAGTTTTGGTAGGTGTTCTAGCCTGAACTGGAAATATTGGATCAAAATTCATGAAAAGGTATGCCATGGGCATATTCCTGTGTAGCACTAAAACCTATTTGGAGATTTCAAAAGGAACCTCAAGGATTCTCAATCCATTCTGACTCAATTCAGCATTTCAGCCTTAATATCCCAACTATTTGGAATCTACTAATCTATCAAATTGTAAGCCCTTAGATCATGTCTTACTGCTTCAACAGCATTTTCTTTGGATTCTCCTTGTTCTGTTAGAGTCTTCTACTTGCACAGTTGCACCAACTCACTCTTTCTCGCTGGTGTCATCTTGTCACTAATTGGAGCCAGTCTTAAGTCCTCTCTGGTGTGTTAACTTCTTATTCCGTCTTTTGTAGTTTTTCTACCTACCCATATCAACATCATCATCTTAGCTATACTCATTTTTTAAACATGTTTCTTGATTGTTCAAAACACTGTTTCATTATAGCAATGTGGTCTATTTCTTTTTAGTCTCATTAATGCATTCCAGCAGACAATATGCTGGATACATTTCTCCTCTTCAACCCCACCCTGGTCCTCTTTAGTTTCACCATTGGGTTTTGAAAGTGTACCAAATAGAGTTTTGAATAAGATCTGAATGAAGTAGCTCATGAAGAAGAGGAACAAGTGTCTGATTCTGCATTAAAGACTGAGGACATTATAAGAAAATGGAAGGAAGTGGCTGCGTCTGCTCCAGGCAGGTCAAGAATAAAGTGGAGTGGCAACCACCACAATTTCCATTTGTCAAGCTAGACTTTGATTGGTGCAGCTTAGGCAATCCAGGTGTATCCGGGATAGGAGTGGTAAGAAATCATTTGGGTGATCTTTTTATCATGTTCTCTGGAGCAATAGGTATTGGGGATTCAACTAGGGTAGAATTGAAAACTCTGTTAGCAGGTTTGAAAGAGGCAAAAGAATTGGGACTTAACAAGCTATTTGCATTACGAGACTCCAAGGTTATAACAGGTTGGTTAGGAAGTAACGAGGGGCCATGGAAGCAGACATGAAATCAGAGAAGCAAAATAGATGTTAAAGGAATTGGGAACTGTCATTCAATGAACTCCAAGGTCTTTTAATAGTCTTGTAGATGGGATGACAAAACAAGGGGTAACAAGGAATTCATTGTATTGGGGAATAGTACAGCAAGGGGGAAATTGTATTTGATACTGATTGTTACAAGGATGGTTAGCTGAGGCTGACAATCCTTTCACTCTTATGTACTCTAAGCTTTACTGATTAATAAAATTTTCATTGTTACTGATTAAAAAAAAAAGGAAGAGGAACAAGGATTTTCAAATTGACAGAAAAGGGGGAAGAAGAAATTCATTTCTAGAATTTAGAGAATAAATGAGTTGAAAATTGAACTTTTAAATAGAAATTTGGCATGAAAGTAATAGCTAAAAAATGAAAATTCAGAATCTTGGATTCATAGGAAGATAAAGAGAACTGGAATGCCAGGAGGCTATTAATAGAGTGGATTACTGCTAGGGTGGACCACTGGGTTAAAACATTGGAATCTCTACACCTTTCTCAGCAGATGATGTCATTAGGAAGTGGAGGGAAGTGGCAAGCACATCATCCAAAAAGAATTTAGTCTATAAAGGTGGAGGCTGCCAAACAGAGGGTTCTTAAGGCTTAGATTTAATGGGAGTAGTAGGGGTTGAAAAACTGAATATTGAAGGGGATTCCAAATGTTGCTACAGTGGCTGAAAAAGGAGGCTGCCTTTTGGTGCTATGGTGGCGAGGGTTCTTTGGACTTCCAAGTCAATAGCTTGGCCAATGCTCTAGCAAAACAAGGGGCTGAGAGGGAACAAATGTTTTGGGCATAATTGTAAGAATTAAAAGGAAACCAAAAGGGTTGAAATACAGAATCCTTATCTCCAAATAGTGTATTTGTACATATTGGATTTGTCCTAATGTTTATAAAATTTTACTGCTATTGATAAAAATGGGAGAGAGAGAACTAGAATGCAAGTAATGAAGGACAAAGAGAACCAAAGCAAAATAACGGGATGGATACATAAGGATTCACCCTCAAACTAAACTTTGATGGGTCAAGTGAGGAGGAGGTCCATGAAGTAGTTTTCTCAATTGATAAATCTAAAGGTCCAGGACTCGACGGTTTCTCGATGGCTTTCTATCAAGACTACTGGGAAATCATAAAAGTTGACTTGATGGATGTTTTTGCTGAATTCTTTCATAAAGGGGAAATTTCACCAAGAGCAAATGCTACTTTCCTAGCCCTAGTACCTAAGAGGAAAGAAGCCAAGACTCCAAAGGACTACAAACCTATAAGCCTTGTGGGTAGCCTCTATAAAATCATTGCTAAAGTCTTCGTTGGGAGATTTAAGATTGTGTTTGCCTTTGGTAATCTCCCAAAATCAAGGAGCATTTGTGGAAGAGAGACAAATAATTGACCAAATTCTGGTGGTAAATGAGTGTATGGTTGAAAGGAAAAAGCAGGGAGGGGAAGGATTGATTTGTGAGCTGGATTTGGAGAAAGCCTATGATATGGTGGGTTAGACTTTTCTCTTGGGATTGATGGAAAAAATGGCTTGGGAGAAAGATGGAGAAAATGGATCAAAGGCTGTATTAGTTCGAAACATTTCTCTATACTAATCAATGGAGTGACTAAGGGTTTCTTCCTGGCTAAAAGAGGTCTAAGGCAGGGGGACCCTTTGTCCCACCCCTCCTTTGTGTTCACCCTTATTGTTGAGGTACTGACTCACTTATAATTTGTAGGTGACATAATCATCTTTTGCAAGAATTGTACAAATCTCAATTTAAGGAACTTGAAGAAAGCCTTAGTTGATCGCTTCCAAAGGATACCAAATTTAAAAGTCAACTAGGGAAAGACTTGTGTGGAAGTGGTTAACTTGAAAGAGAAGATATTCTTTGGATGGCTGAAATTTTAGGTTGTGAGTTGAAAAACTGGCCCCTAAAGCATCTTGGTTTGCCTTTGGGAGGAAACCCAGGAGCAGATATCTTCTCATCTTTGTGAGGAAGAATCACTTTGATCAAATCCACCTTAGCCAATTTGCCCACTTACTACCTGTCCACCTTTAGGATCTTGACAGAAATAGCCAAACAGCTAGAAAAATTGATGACAGACTTCTTGTGGGAGAGAGGAGATAAAAAGAAAGACCATTTGATAAAATAGGGCTAAGTGTGTAAATCTAAGGAGCAAGGAGTATTAGGTATTGGAAATTTGATCGAGAAAAATACAGCTCTTCTAGGAAAATGGCTTTGGACATTCCCCTTAGAAGGAGATAGATTGTGGTACAAGGTTATTAAAAACATTAATGGTGTAGCGGACAATGGCGAGGATGCAAAACTAGCGTCTCATACTACTTCAAACTTCCCTTGGAAAGAAAACTTTGAGGTATTGCCTACCTTTCTAAACTACATTCGTTTTGATGTGGGTTGTGGGATTATTCTAGGAAGACCTCTGCCTTGGGGACCTACCATTAAGTTGCAATTCCCAGCACTCTACTTTGTTATCAAACCATAAGGCTGAACCTATTTTAAGTTTTGGCTTTCCCTCAGAACATGTGTTAAACTGGGACTTTGATTTCCGCCGGGGGGGGGTAAAGGTTACAGCTCAAAGAAACTTGTAATATTGCTCAAATAACAAATAGAAACTAACCCTATTTTACCCCGTCTCAAATGGCATGTGATTGAAAATAGATTCTCATGTTGCTGATCCAAAAAAAAAAAGATTCTCATGTTTCTTATATTTGATCCTATGAAGAATGTATGAAAGTGGTTATACTTTGGACAATGTGGGAAAAAGGAGTTTGGGATGTCATTGTTTCTAGCTTTTCTCTTTTTTAACTGAAAACAATGATGACAGCTCAGCCAATGAATGAGGGGGAACCTATTGAATCTGAAAGTCTTAAAAAATGGCACCAGACCTGGCAGGTAAAGGGGCAGAGTGTTGCATGGTAAATAAATTTTGGTTTGGGTTGAGATCTGATTGACAGGTCTCCAAATCCAATATTTGATGTTTTGTGCCCCATATTAATTAGTTTTTGATTGAAGTTGCTAACCTGATGCAATCCTCCACCTCCATCTTAGCTTGGGAAGCGGGGATTGAAAATCCTGTGCAAAGCTCAAAACTGGTGGACTTAATTTCTAAAGCAATTTGGTAAAGATTAAAGAGAAATTATCAGCAGTTGGGACCATTTGAACGAAGTTAAGGACTAAGAAGGGAAAAGGCAAGGAAAATAGAGCTAAGCAAATATATGTGAATAGTACAAATTCAAGAGAACATAACCTTTGGCAATCTATGCCTTCCTCTTCCGGTCTTCCCTTGGTTTCTGTTTTGTTTTATGTAATTAGAATATAGAGATTAAAATTTTATACCTTGAGACCATATAAAAAAAGAATTAAATGAAAAAGATCTTCTGTAAGATTCCTTAGATCCTTGATGTTGTGTTATTATGTGGTACTACAATTTACTGATTGTTATCTATCAGACTACTATTTGTTGGAAGTACAAAGATAGTTTAATTGTTGTGTATCTTTTTTATGCATGACTATTCTTGCTGTTTGGTTTCCAATGATCCATACAGAACTATGGTTCTTTAGACTCCATGAAAATCTCTCCCGAGGAAGACAGGAAGGCCTATGATGCAGCAACAGTCTCTGAGATTGATCGAACAGTGAAAAAGTATGCAGATAATCTGCTACATGCATTGGAAGGTGTGAGTGCACGTCTAACGCAGCTGGAGAGCAGAACCCGCCACCTTGAAAGTTCAGTGGATGATTTGAAATTATCTGTTGGAAATAATCATGGTAGCACTGATGGAAAACTGAGGCAGCTGGAGAATAGTCTGAGAGAGGTTTGCTTCCTTCCTGTGATGCTTTTATTTTAAGCCTGACACAATTTTTGTTTCATTCTCAAATTGTTTTTCTTCTATATTTGGCCTTTATGCCAACCAATATGTTATACATATTTGAAGTTGTGGACAATATATGTCAACTACTTATGTTGAGTTGAACTTTATTTAATGAAATAATGAAAGAAGAATTTTGAATGGTAAAGATACCAGAAAGTTGAGTATCGGTGAGAGTGTTTTTTGTATTGTCCATTTGTGATTCCCTTCTATCTTTCACTACATACCGTTGGATGGTGCTCTATCGCATCCTTATGTAATATGACTTATATGGGACTTACCACATTCCATCCGTTCCATATAGAACTTTATCAGTACAAGTTAGAGATTACTCAGATTCACTTAGCATGTGAACACAGACTAGCCCGTTTGGCTCTTTATCTCTTCTTTGAAACATGGTTCCAAGGTTTCCAAGTAAAATATTGAATGATATTTTCTTTTGATTGATAAAATATTGAATGCTATTGGTGTAAACATATTATTCAAAAAAAAGTGTATTACTTGATATGGTGGCTAATGGATAGCCTTGGAGTTATATTACTTGGAAATGGAAAATTTTTTCCCTGCAAAGAAGAGTTCAACAACTAATGAAAACTCCTCTAAAAGAATTAGCAGGCAACTATAGATTCAACTGAGAAAATAGCATATGGGGTTCATGGGCTTCTCCCTTCAGTCATACAATAAACTCATTGGACAAATTGATCTGGAACCAAGTGAAAATGAATTTCACAGCCATGCCCAAGAGAAAGTGGATTCTAATGGTGCTGCTTGGACCCATGGCCTTATTTGTATTTTCATAGGCCTGTAGCCAAATTCTTTATTTGTGCTTCAGTTGATTGTCACCAATTCCTTATCTATATATTCTTTTGATGGGGGTGATGGGTGATAAGAAAAAGAAAAATATTTTGTTGAATTTTACTCATTATGTATATGCTTTTTTTATCCTGTTTCCTTGATCATTCTGTAATATGCAATTACTGTCTATCAACATTTTGCTTGTAGGTGCAAACTGGTGTACAGGTTTTGAGAGAGAAGCAAGAAATAGTTGAGACCCAGCTGCAGTTTGCAAAGTTTCAGGTGTCAAAAGGAGATCAGCAATCTGAAGGCCAAAATAATGCTTCACAGCAAGATTCTATGCCGCAAACAGCATCTACTACTCAGCAATCTTACCAACCACTTACCCCACCTGCCGTTCTTCCTCAACCACCTGCACCACTTCCTTCTCTCCCCCCTCCAAATGCTCCTCCACCCCCACTGCAACAGAACCCTCCGGTTCAGCTTCCTGGTCAGTTACCGCAAAACCAAATCCCTTCTGTCCCACAGAGAGAGCCCTACTTTCCATCTCCTGGTCAGACACCAGAGGCCACACACCAGCAATACCAACTGCCTCCACCTCAGCAGCTACAGCCACCACCTGGTCCACCTCCTGCACCACATCAGCATTATCAACCAACCCCCCAGCTTCCACAATACTCTCAGCCACCCCAGCATCCACAACAACACCCACCTGTTGGCCCTGTTAATCCATCTCCTCCACAACTCCAACCACCTATGGGACAACATCCTGAAGAACCCCCTTACTTGCCATCTCAGACTTACCCTCCTGGCATCCGCCAACCCCCCTCAGTGAGTCAGCCACCATCTAGTGGAGTTCCTCCCTCCCAACAGTTCTATGGTCCACCCGCCCATTTATATGAGCCCCCATCAAGCCGACCTACTTCAGGGTTTTCTCCTGCATATGGTCCACCTTCTGGTCCTACTTATAGCGACTCCTATCCATACAGTGGATCACCTTCTCACTACAGCAGTTCAATACTGAAATCATCTCAACCTCCTCCTCCTCCTTCAGCTCCAAGTGGTGGAAGCAGTTATCCGCGTCTCCCAACTGCTCAGATATTACCACATGCGCTGCCAACGGCCACTAGCATTGGCAGTGGATCAAGTTCTGGTGGGACTGGAAACAGGGTTCCGATTGATGATGTGGTTGACAAGGTGGCAACAATGGGATTTTCAAGAGACCAAGTGAGGGCAACAGTGAGGAAACTCACAGAGAATGGGCAGTCGGTGGACCTGAATGTAGTGCTGGATAAGCTAATGAATGATGAAGTCCAGCCCCAAAAAGGTTGGTTCGGCCGGTGACATGATGTGTGATAGCATCCAACTTGATTTGTTTTGTATAAAGTGATGAACTGTTTCATAGACCGTCTTTTCAATGTTGGGTTCTTCTTTGGGTCTGAGTTGGTTGTCATTTCATTTCGTGTTTATGTTGGTTTATTATTCTAAAATAATTTCCGCAACAGTCGATGATCTAAGATTTAATTTTGTACTTGTCTATGCAACATTGTTTTGTAAAGGCTTTGCTTGTTAGCACTGCAAATTCATTTGCAGTAATACAAATGCAAGGGAGTGCAAATTCTGGTTAAACTTGCTTCATGTTTTATTTTACTGCATTTACACTGGAAACACTCAAAATAAAGTAAATCCTTAAAGAAAGATAAATCAGAATTTGCACCCACATTCTTACCAAAAAAAATTATATAAAAAAGTTGCACTCATATACTTTTGCACCAGCACAGATGAAAGTGCATTATATACAAGGTCGGTGTGGCATGGCATGTGGCATTTTAAAGTTCGAAGATCAAAGTGGCATTAGTCCTAAAGTACAGGATATTAATATGGAAGTTTTTTTAAAAGTTTCTTATTCTTGTAATAAATTTACCTCCCCTCTCTTGTAATTAAAGTTTCTTTTTCTTAATAAATTCTGCTGTTACTAATCAAAAAATAAAATAAAATCCTCATTTAATTTTTCACTTTGGGCCCCATGTATGTGGGGCAATATCATTGGTTCCACAACCTGGTGAACAACTATCGCATTTAGGCATTCAGCTACTCTTTTTTTTCCTACTTTTATTTTCTCTACAAAGTGGAGATAATATTTTCTCTCTAATTTAAACAAAACATATTAATATTAAAATTCCTACTTTTATTTTCTCTACAAAGTGGAGATAATATTTTCTCTCTAATTTAAACAAAATATATTAATATTAAAATTCGAAATGTTGTGTGGTGTAGGATTATGGATTTGAATGAGGGATTATGTATTTAAGTATGTTGTGTTCAAGGTTTAAAATATTGATACGCCCGATATGTCGGTAGGGGCGTATTGTGTGAATCGATACTGTTTTTTTTTCTTTTTTTTTCTAAAACTGGTTCAGGGGGCCGGTTTAGGGCTCCTCCACCCTGTGAACCGGTCAGACCCCCAATACACCCACTATAGGGGCGTATCGGAGGGGTCTCGGAACGATATGTATCGGCTAATATGGGCCAATATGTGTTGATATTTTGAACTTTGGTTGTGTTGTTTGAGCTAATTGTGGATTGTATTCTATTTGCATTGAGATTGTATTTAACAAATTGTACATTGTGTTTAAAGTTGGATTATGCATTAGTACTGATTATGTGATATTATTTAGCTTGTTTATGGTTTATGTTTTATTATTATTATTATTTTTTTTTGAGATTGAATGATTATTTATTTGAAATGTGGAACATTTATGATAGATTGTTAACCAAAGCCAAAACTTTGAGACTTGAGAGTGAAAAAAAATTAAAAAAAAAGTACATTATTATCTTTTTATAAACAATAGATTTTATGTGTGTACCTTGGAACCGCCAAGGCTGAAATCTATCTTTGACAGGAATAGATTATGGTTCCAAAAACCTAGAATCAACCCTACAAGATAGTTTCCAAGTTTTATTTTGGAATTGAACCAAGCTGACCATGTTCAACCCTAAAAATCTAATATCAGTATTTGAAAAACCACTCTACTTCTTAAACATCTTACGGCTGTAAAACAGTATCCAATTGTCTGAACTCAAATTTGGATTTGACCCGGGTGATCTGAATTCAGTCCATTAATAATTGGATCAAATATGGATTCACTCTTACACCATGCGTACACATGTGTGTATTTTAAATTTATACCCCATTAAATCCTTCCTCCTCTCATCTTAAATCTTTCTACTCTCAAATAAAATAAGGGTATAATTGGATGGGCTGGTAGATTTAAGGAACAGACTAACCCTATCCTTGGACACAACATGGGTCAGTCATATGTCGAAGTCAAAGTCCACTTTTGCCATTAAAGTCTTGAACCCCACCATAGCTAAACCCAACACAACTTAAAATGGCTTAGTGGGTTTGGTAAGTTGGTCAATTTGAAATCATTCCTCACCTGACCCATTATATATGCATGTATTATATATATTAATATACATATATATGTGCATTATTTTATGTTAAATACAATATAATGTATATTATATGTATTATAATATTTTATATTATAATATAAAATATTATACTTTAATAGGATATATTTAAAGTTATAAAGATATCAATATCCATGAATCTAGTAACAAGTCATCTTTACCAGAGTTCTAAAGATCCATTTAATAATTAGATGAGTTGACTAAATTTAATGACTGAATTAACAAAACATTCTTACTTTAATAGTTATATAATTCCCGTTTCCAATCTAAGAGCTGAAACTTCAAGCTGAAATTATGCTGTTTTATGAGCCATTCGAATTGACTGAGCTGAATGTGTACTGGTTTGTAATAGTTATCTTCACTATGTAATTCAGATATTTGCTTGAGCTTTACATCCAAACTACCATGTAAATTTTATTTTCTTCTTTCCATTTTGTTCAACTCTCTCCACTTATACATGTCCATAACCTATAGAGAGCTTTTTTTTTAAGATAAGTGACATCATAACTTTTTGGGAAAAAAAAGAATCTAATAAGGTGATGCTGCAAATCTTAAATGGAAGCTTTTCCTAAAACATATGTATAACCACTCTTAGAAAAAGTGAGAATAAACCCCATTCTCAGAGAAAAAGATGGTAATTTATTACTGACTGTGACTAACTATAAAGATAGTACCCATTTCATAAAATGTAGGACCCACATTAATATTTATAATTTAATTTCTTAATTCATTATAAATATTTTCAATGGTGTGAATTCAATTCTTTTAAATAAAACGGGTTTGTCAATTACAGTCATAATTTAATTTTTAAATTAAATTTAAAAAATAAATAATGAATCTCATACAAAAGAATATATAGGTGTAATTGCTCTGTACTTAGTACGGGACCATTTTCTAATATAATAAAATGATTAGGGATAAAATAGTCATTACATGCAGGGTTGCAACAAGTTGGATTGTCCAATTTGAAGAATTTCAACTACATCAGTCCAGGGTTAGGGTTCGGGCATAAGGGAAATTTAACAAATTCTTAACCCAACCCAAATTACACCCTTAGTCACCACAATATGATGTTCATCAATTAAATGGTTTGATAGTATTGTCATACTTAAATTGCTTATTAATGAAAATTTAATTTAGTTGATTCAACCATTATCAGACGATTCTTTCGAACTCCTCTTAGGATGCTTTGTTATTAGACTCGTGGATATTTTGTCGAATACAAGGTGCAAGATTGCACCCTTTTATTCTATATAGGGTTCCAATAGTGGTTTTAGTAATATGATATAGAATTATAAATTTGCCATTCTTTTTAGTTTTATGCATCTATTGAAGAAGTAATTTATTATAAGTTGAAAGGAATTAGAAACTTATAGCTAAGGATAGATAAAAATGATATAAATGAAATAATAATAAATAATTTAAGTGTTTATAATTTAACAATAAATATGAAACTGAATTAAATAAAAGGAAAACTGCAGATTAATACCCTATATTTCGGCTTCCGAACTTCAAAACGTGCTAATCTAGCATCTGAACTTTTAAAACGTTCCAATTTAATATCTACCGTCAGTTATATATATCACACAATGATAAGTGCAATTTAAAACTTTTGAAAATATCAAAATTACTCTTCCAAATAAGACAAAGTTCATCATTTTCTTCCTCCGGAATCAAGGTTGAATCAAATCAATGATGAACAACCCCAAACCCACCACCAATCCAAATCGATGATCAACAAGGCAACCAATTTAGAGCGGATGGTACTGTTGGACTTAATAAGGGTAATCATCTTTCTGAAACAGAGCACAAAAATGATTTTTGTTTTTTTTCATTCCTCTTTCCTCCCAAGCAAAGTTGTCGTGCTCCGAGAACATGTATGTCTAGTTGCCTACCTCTTGAGTTTCTGTGTTTCAAAAAATTCTATCTTTTCCTTTTGGGTGATTGCAGGTTGCTCTCAATCTTTTTTGGTTTTGGTAATCGGCAAGAAACTATGTCTTTTTTTTTTTGGTTGAAAAAGAATTTCTTTACAAACAGGTGAAAAGAAATAAACACCAACCCAAATACATATAATTATCCATTGTCCCTGTAAGGAGCAAGTAAAAGCTAATCAGGAGATCAACCGAGAAGTGAAAACAAAACTAGACCCCTCGCTTTGAGTTGCACGATGGCCTTCAAGGGTCAACAATTGAACGCTACATGAAGTTTTTTTTTTTCGGTTCCTTTCGTTTTTTGTCGTTTCACATCCAATTGACTTCTAAGAGATTTCAGCATTTGGATCATTGATAAAGAATATTAGATGACACCTAAAGGGTAATTTTGAATTAAATTGGAATAATCTAAAAGTTTAGGTATTGGATTAGCACATTTTGAAGTTCAAAAAACTAAAGTGAGACTAGACCCAAAGTAAAAGATACTAATCTACAAATTTCCCTTAAATAATGGTGAAACAAGTATCATGTAACTAATTCTATATATGAAATGGGAAAGGTTATGATAAATGGTGATAAATATATTGCCTTCTATACGTTTCTTCCAATGAAAAGTTCTAATCCAACAGTTATAGTTAGGGGTGCAAATGGATTGGATCATGATCCGATCCAAATCCAATTATTTTTCGAATGGGAGTGGATTCGTACCACCCACTTATCCTATCCAATCTGACCTATATATTATTGTTTTTTTTTGTAGTATATATGTTTTATATTGTATTTTATTGAATTTTTTTATAAAAAATACATGTATTTATTAATATATATGATTAAAACTACTGAAAAATACTTTCGTGTTTCTTTATATAAACTATTACCATCTTTTTTTCTTTTTAATACCTTATTAAAGTTTTTAGAAATAAAATCAGTTTGGCTCAGATTCGGATATTCAATATACTAATGGATACGAATCTAGGAATGGCAATAGGGCGGGTTCAGGGCAGGGATTACATTCCCCATCCTCATCCCTAGTCCTCGTTAGGGAAAGAAATGCTCCTCCATCCCCGACCCTGCTAGGGATGAGTTCCTCATCGGAGACCCAAATCCTCGATTGTTTGAGAGAGAAACTTCAAACTTGTGACTTCTGAGTTGCAAAGTTTCAAATATGTAACATCTCACATCTGTTTGAGATTTCAAAAATCAAATATTGGACTTGTGAGTGCCTAGTTGATATATATATATATAGAGAGAGAGAGAGTACGTATACTAGTTACTGAAGACAATAGACGAATAATGGAAGAAAAAGGGTAGGGTTTTGAGTTTCAGGTGTCGCCCTTGCAAGTTCTTTTCTCTGTTATTTTTTCTTTGTCTGTTGAGTTTAGTTTAGGTAGTAGAAGAGAGTTAAGAGACTCTTGAGAGAGTCAATAGTTTAAAGTTTTTGTCTTTTACTCTTTTTGAGTTCTTGTTATTTGTGTAATTATAATATAATCATGTTATAATATAAATAGTATATATATAATTAATCGGGGCAAGGGCAGGGCAAGGATTGCATTCCCCATCCCCGTCATCGAACTTAATCGGGAATTCAGTTTTAGCCCCATCCCCGACCCCACCAAAGCACTCCCTATACTTGACTCCAAGGGGTTAGGGAGCTTGGGTACCTGTGGAGGGAAAAATTATCTCTATTTGAATCAGATCTCAAATTTATATGATTAGATTAGATTCAGATATACCCCAATTCAAAAACAATCCGATCCGATGCATTTGCATCCCTGACTTATAGCATCATTAATTGAATGTATTATGTGTAATTGAGTGTGGCACGTGCGAAAGAGGGAGAGGGAGAGGTAAATAGAAATTGATGAGAAAGGTAAATATGAAAATTTTAAAATTTCCGCAGGATGGTCTGGACGTGAAGCCAAGGCCTTGTACGGGCATCATTCATATAGTAAAGATAAGGACAGATATCCTCAATATAACCATTTGCATTTCAGTCCTTTCCTCTAACCTCTACATAGTTTTTTTTTCCTATTAAATTTCGTCCAATTGATTTTTAGTTCTATTTTATTTTATTTTTATTATTTCTTTCTCTAATCTATGCCCGGTTCCTCCTTGGTTCGGCTGGGACGGAAAAATTAAGAAATAAAAAACTAATTGCTTCTCTCGGCCTCAGCGGCTTACCGGAGAGAAGAATTAAGTCGAAGAAAACCCTACCAGGTTCGACAATAGAAGTCCTCGCCTCGACAATACTTGGGGTGGTTGTCCCATGGTTTATAGTTACGTTGTTATCTTGTAGTTCCTCGACTCCATTAATGGCGTTTTAGGGCTTGGTCTTCCTCGCGTTTGGACACAGATGATGAAGAGGAATGATTAGAGATATGAAATTTGAGGACTCCTCTTTAACTGGATATCTCGTGAAGAACCTTGAATCACTGTAAGTAATATTCCTTTCTCCAGTATTAGTAATGTTTCTGCGTTCCATAATCGTTGATCCTTTTTCTTTATTTTCTTCTCTTCGCGCGTCCTTAATGTTTTATAGCTTTTTTTTTTTTTTGTATTTCCGCTTTTGCTCAGTATATTCGATGTATAAGACATTGCGTAATGAAAAGCCCTTGCTCTAGAAGCTGAAATTCTTAGTGTACGAATAAGAAATTGGTTAATAGATTTCGAGCCATTTGTTTGATGAGCGGGTGTAATTCATTCTTCCCAGAAATTGCATAAGGTATATTTCTATTCATTCCTTCGCTGTTACACACCATGTCTTTTTTACTGAACTAAATTTTTGCTCTCCGTGCTGGTATTCAACTGAAAGTAGGTCGTAAACAGTTCAATGATGTTCATTTGGTTTGTGTTGGATGTTAATATGAACAAGAACACTGGGAACTTGATAATTGGGTATTGAACTCATTTCCATAACCTACGCTGAGATCCAGAGCCAGACATGGTAAGGTATAACAGAAGAAAATTAAAAATTCCATTACTCAATTTTTTTTAATCATCAATGAGAATTTTATTTGAGAATGAAACAAAGGGTAAAAGACAAAGAAGGAAGGAGAAAAGAAACACAAATCAATAAAAGTTTTAATCCATGAAATAATACGCTTATGCCACTGATTTTTTTTTTTCTATCCATAAAAAAGAAAAACACTAATTTTTGCTAGTGTCCACCAAAACTTATTATTCTGCCTTTGGTAGGAAAGGTTGATGACCAGTCATTATATCGAGTCCTAGATATCATTGATAATTTGGTAGGACCAAACTTTTTTCTTGCATTTCCATCTTATCACATTTATTCAGGTTTGTCAGGAGCTAGTTATTATATTTGATAGAATACTCATAAAAGACCAAATTATCAGAAGAGAATCACATGAGAAATATTAAGCCTTGGAGGTGCAACATTATCTTTTAGGCTTTTTTGATTCAAAATCCCTAACCAAGCCTTTCCTCATAATCTCTAAGAAGCCACCAACCTTTGATGACATGGTCCTCCAAAGGTTAAACTGATGTGATTCCCAAAGCCCCCATGTATACTGTGTGGTACAGTGGTAGCAATTGAGTCACATTGTTTTAGCATGCCTTTAGAGCATTTTAGATGACCAAAGAATTTCTCTAAACTGTCACTTGGAGGAAGACTTTCTTTTGAATCTCCTGCTTCTCTTTTCTTCCCAAAATTATTCCTATCATGGATATGACATTTCTGAAGTGGGTACTCTGATCTCAACTCTACAATGTCACTTTGGTGGACCTAATGATGATTAAAAAATGTTTTTGGGGAAATGGGAGCCTAGAAATTCTTGTATGGTAAAGAAGAAAGATGGGGAAAGGGGAAGCCGAGGGCATAATAAAGAAAGGAACACTATCCTTGCGATTCAAGTCACATTACTTGGAAATCAACAAAATTTTGGGAAATTTGGACATCTTTATATTTGGAAAGTCATTGGCATCTAGAATGGACCCTTTGTTCTACTGGATTACTGGATTAATGATGCAGTGCAAAGGAGGGTGGTCCATCTAGAATGCACCAGTACGATATGTATTGGTTTTCAGGGTCACCAAAATGCTAAATAGTGGGAACACCAGCTTGTTAATAGGTTTAATGTTGGTGCTTATCGTAATCTACCTATTTGTGAACTTATCAAACTGAAAAAGTAAAAAAAAAGATTATTAGACTTGAAAATTGTTATACTGTAAAGAACTAAGGATGTCTCAGGTGGGACCTGCCAAAATCAGCATAAGGCAATTACCCAATGTTGGTCCTAGCCATGCTCTCAGACTCGAACCAATGTTTTTTTTTTGATGAATTCAGACTCACGCCAATGTTCTCACTCGTCAGCATGAGATTTTGCCATTACACCAAGCAAGCAATGGTCCATTGCCTAAGTTGGCATATACAGTTTAAATGTAATTTACACCAGATTCAACTTCTTATGTTCTTCATAGGCCTGAATAACCTTAATTTTAGATTTTCTCTTCTTTTGTCCTGGATGCTGATGCTCTGCAATCTACTCAGTATTGAGGGTTAGGTTTAGTGGTCCTACACTCACTATGGAACCATGCATTACACAGGTTTTTTTTTTTTTTGATGAATGATTAAGCAATTTTATTAATGAGATAAAAAAGGAAGTACAAACAGCCTTTGAGGAAGCACGAGATGCTACCTCCCCAAAGTAATGAGTACAGACCCAAGCACTATAAGATGACAAATTAGCCCAATACAAAGATGCCCAAGAAATCCCTTGCTTAGCCAAAGAGTCTGACAAAGCATTGGCTGATCTGCTGACCCATTTTTTTTGATGAATAATAATAAGTTTATTGATTCAGAAGCAACTTTAGAGTGAGTTCATACATCATCCCAACGAGAGGCACAAGCTGCAGCCCCTCCTTGAATCTTACAAGTAAACTAGGAAAGAAAAACAAGAATCACAACTGAGCCCAAAGTAATTCTTCCCTATTTATCCCTTGCTTAGCTAACACATCTGACAAAGTATTTGCTGATCTCCCCACCCACTGTACAGTGACCAACATATTCCTTGTCAACCAACTAAATTTCTTCATTTCATTCTTGTATCGCCACATAGCCTCTTCAGAATTTTTCAACCAACCCACCRCCACTTTGGAATCCCCCTCGATTATTAGGTGTTGTACCCCCAGCTGGTTTGCAAATTGCACCCCTTGTACAGCAGCTAAAAGTTCTGTCCTGATGGAGTTCCCAATTCCCAAGGGACCTGATGTGCTGACCCATTGGAAATTGACTATCATGCTTCTTGTGATCCATTTTACTTTCCTCAGAAGATCTCTGTAGCCCCAAGTGACAGTGTCCGAATTCTGCAGCCAGCTAACTATTACCTTGGAATATCCTTTAATTACCAGATTTTCCACTCCAAGTTGGCTTGTTTTCTGTAAACCTTGTACAGCTGCTGGTAATTCAGCTTTTGTTGAGTCACCCGCTCCTACTGGGCCTGAGAACAAGGATACAATGTTGCTGTTATTATCCCTCAAAATTCCACCAATTCCTGAAGGCCCTGGGTTACCTTGACTGCTGCCATCAAAATTCAGTTTAATTACCCCTTTTGGAGGAGGAGTCCACCTTGCTTGTGATATGGATTTCTTTGAAGCTTATTGAAGCCACCGCTAACCAGCTCCTCCGAATATCATTATTGGATAAGTCCACAAACAGTTCTGAAGTTTTCAGCCAATGGATGGTTCTTGTAAGTATGCAATCCTTAACTTCCTTGGGACTCATTTCTTTTTCTTGGAAAATCCATGTTTCATTCCTCCCAAATGGTCCATACAGTGGCTGCTCTAATGCATTTCCACATAAGCTTCCCTCTCCTTGTTCGCCAACCAAGCAATGATGGATCAAAGAGCAAATTTACATTAGAAGTCAGAATCCACTTACAACCAAATAAAGACCACACATCTGCAGCAAAGGAACAAGATATTAGCATGTGGTAATAGTCCTCATTCTGTACTTTACACATTGTGCACCAGTTTGGGTTCAAGCATAACAAAGGTCCCTTCTTCTGTGGATTATCCACAGTATTGATCTTATCATGATATACTTCCCAGAAAAAAATAGATATTCTGGGGGGAATGGGCCTAGACCATAAATCCTTCACTGGGAAAGTCCAAGGAGAAGGAGAAGAACAAAGGAACTTGAAGAAGGAAGCACAAGTAAAGGAGCCACTCGGTACCAAAGTCCATACCCTACAGCTCTGTCAAGCAAGCACATTCCTCATCCCCCAGACCTCTACGGAACCCAAAATCCCAATTTGGAGACAGCGAGGTTATTGGGACAGAAAGAAACCTAGCAACAGGCTCTCTCTTATATAAGGAAATAGAGTAAATGGAGGGATAAGGATCTTTTAGGGGTTGATTGCCCACCCAGACATCTTCCCAAAAAAGCACAATAGTACCTGAGCAAACACCATACCTTACTGATCTGAGGAATTTAGGAAGAACCCTGGAAATTGCCTTCCAAGGTGTAGTGAGTCGAGCTTGTCGAGACATTCCAGCATCCCAACCATTCAGAATAGCCATGAATACTCTCCACCACCTCGTGCCACAATCTCTCTCTTTCCAAAGGCCACCCCCACAACCATTTACATTAAAGAGCTTCATTCTTTTTAACCAAGTTCCCTAACCCTAAGCCCCCTTATTCCTATCTATGACCCACCACCTCCCATTTAACCAAATGATCATTTTTTTCTCTTCCCCTGGCTCCCATAGGAAGTCCCTCATCGGTTTTTCTAATCTCTTGGCTACCTTAGAAGGTAACCTAAAGACAAAAAGGAAATAGGTAGGGAGGTTTGCTAGAGTGGCCTTGATTAGAGTAACTCTTCCCAAGTGAAATATAGTTTCTCCTCCAGGCCATCATATTTTTCGAGTGCTCATGAAAATTTTAAATGTTGCATCAACAAACAATTTAGTCCTCTTCTGCACCTATCACAATCTATTGTCTAAGGATAAAGATGCATGGACATATGTAAGGATTTAAACCATGAAATAAGATTAAAAATGTAGATGACAGTTATACCATGTAGGGATTTAGGACCTGGAAGGATTCTTTATCACTTATGGGTGCCTTTTACGAATAGCGCCTTTGGCATGTAACCTTGTCTGTATTCAGTTTCTAAGTTTTGTAAATGCTTGTAAGACGTTGCTAGCCAGGTTGAACAGTTTTTTTTTTCAGGTGGATTCTTAGGTCTGCCAATATCTGGCTGATTCTTTAGCTAGAGTTATGATGCCAAACATCATCATCATAGGCTAGCAGTAGCTACCTAATCCTTACCTCTCTTTCTCTTTGTTACATGGATATCTATACATTTCATTGTATTGGTATCTACAATTCATGTATAGTGTTTTAGTATATAAAAAATAGGACTAGACATATTCTCATTAATGTGAAAGTATGAACATGTTTGAAAAGGGCTTCAAGCCTATCCTTTAGTTTCTGGAGGGAAAAACATTTTGTAATCTCCCTGCTTAAAAGTGTAAGTGGTTTATAGAAAAATCTATAAAAACGTGATTTACACAGAAAACTGGTTTTTAAGTTATAGAGCCATATTGGATGGAGAAAAAAATCATTTAAAGTTCTACCAATTCAAGTGGAAACCCTGTTTAGTCTTGGACAAAGATCCCTAAAGATGCCAGCACCACTCTAATGTTCTCAACCAAATTCTTGAGCCATCTCAAATCTTAAGTCCTTTCAGAGATTAGTGCCCACTTGGGAGGGATTTCACGCTAGGGCTGTCAAAAGACATACAAGACTCATATACAATTAAGTTAGAGGTACATCAGTCTCTGGCTTTAGTGGCCCCCCCCCCCCACACACACACACCAAGAATGTTTCCTGTTTACTCTCTCTCTGAAAACCTGCTCGCCCTGTCTACTCCATCTCTTGCAAGGGCATCGGCTAAAGTATTATCTGATTGAAGTATATCCACGTGAATGAGTGGTTCAGATTGGATGTCAGAAACATAGTTTCCCTGATTATTTTGTTGGAGTACTGAATGTTACTTTTGCATACCTTTGTGCATTATTATACATCCTCTTAGATTCAAGGTATGGTCCCAGAACCATACCAATCTTTTGTTTGAAAATGATAATTTTTTTGGGTACTACCCAATGCAAAAGAGGCTGGTTTATTCATGGTTCATTTTTTGAACCATGATATCTGAGTATTGGTTGTATGATTCGTTTGTACATGTACTTTCACTATCAACTTTTGAGTTTTGATCATATGGTCATCACCAAATAGAGACATTATGACTGTAGCAATATTGGTTTGTCAGACACACCATATAGCTGTCATGTCATGCTTACATCAGCAAACCCTGTTTCCTGGTTGATAAACTATAAAAAAGTTGTGTTAAAAAGGCCATTTTGCTGGTTCTGAAACCATGGGTTGCTGGTTCCAGTACCAGCAATAGCATACAAATTGCATACAGAATGCTAGTTCTGTTTATGAATCAAATGCAACAGGAACACAACCATGAACTGAACACCTTTTAAAATAGAGAGCTTAACCTTTTTTTGTTGACTTTTCGAACTTTTTTCTTTCCATTTAAATCCTGACCTTTGTTTTATTTCCCTTTCTGTCCCCCTCTACTAGCCCTGTGACTCAGGGCTAGTATAAAAAATAAAGCAGAAAGTTCTGGTTATTCTTATTCTATGCTGTCTTGTGGACCTTCTTTCTTTTTCTTTTAACTAATGCAAGGACGATTAAGGGGCTGTTCGATAACAGCTGAAATAGCTGAACTGAAAAGTTAATTGCTTTGTATTTTAGTGAATAAGTTTGTAAGGAGGTTCCGAGGTTGTGGGCTCCTTAATTGCTGAAGCTAAAGTTGGGTAGATTATTATGCCCTTGATATTTTATCATTTAATTATTTTATCCACTAAAAGACAAAGCAATAAGTTGTTCAATTTAGAAGCTATCAGTGTCCATATCTGGGTGCCGCCATTGATTCTTCATTGTTCTTTCACATATATTTTAGTAACTTTGGGATGCTCACATCTCTCCAGGAATTGATTTGCTGTAACCTCTATTTCCATAGAAGGATGAACTACATTAAGTGGTGATTGGGTTGTGGTCTTCTTTATGGTTTCTTTTTTGAGGTTTGATGTTTTTGTTTTGATAGAAGAAGCCAGCTTCTTTCTGTAGTGGGATGTTCCACAGTCTGGGAGCTGGTGTATGTTTGTATACTTTGTTGTGTCTTTTGCTTGGTTGCAAAGCTCAGATATCTCGTGCATTGCCATCATTTTTCTTTAATATATATTTATTTTTATTTATTATTATTTCTTTGAAAAGGTAAAGTATTGTGCTGTTCAAAGGCCTTTTTACAAGAGGCTGTACAGATGGGAATATACAACATCTAAGAGTATGCACTGTGTATCATCAGTCCTTGGCTGTTTACGAAAAGATTCTCAAAATAAAAAAAAAACATGGCTTATTGTTTGAGATTTTGGGTTGCTGTAAGGGTTTCATTCCCAAATGAAATTATAGAGTGGTTTCTGATTGAAGTTGTTCCATTTTCAGGACAGAAGCTGACCCCTTGATTCTTGCAAAATATGTGGAAGCATTGTTAAAGAAGGACAAACCAGTTAAAGAACTGCAGAAGCTCTGTGCTGAGAATCTGGTCGAATTTCTTGGTCAGGGTATGTTCTGCACAGTGACTATATGTGTCTATTTCCTGTTTTCATGGCTGAAAAGTCATTACTTTTCAAATTATATTTTTATATTCATTTTCTTTTTTTGTCTTTGGAAGATTTCCCTTCTGATCAATTGTCTTATAGAGTCAATCAATCTGATCCAAAAAGTGATTTGTACACTGGAGTTATTTCTTTTTGTAACCAGCACTCTAGAAATTTTAACAATGCATGAATATAAACATATTGAACTCTCTCAATGCCAAAATAAGGACACTAAATGCATCATCCATCAGCACAAATGCAAGGGAAATGTCTTCCAAAACTTTCAAAAATTCTGCTTTTTCTCCTTTCCAAACCAACAGCTTTTGTGGCCTTCACTGTTATTTTAAAATAAGTAGGACTAAAAGTCTAAAACGGAATATATGATTTCTAAATTTAACTATAGTAGGAATGCAAATCAGGGTACACTTTGGAGACCAAGAGAGGTAACTCAATGTGACCTTTTTCCGGTACCTTGGTTTGATAGTTCATAACAAGTGAGATGTTGAGGAGGATGCCATCATAGAATTAGAGCAAGATGGGTAAAATGGAAGGGCATCTGGAGTTTCATGTGATAGGTGGATAGCTGAATACCACTTCAGTTTTAAAGGAAAATTCTATAAAATATTTGTAAGGCCAGCTATGCTCAGTGATTTAAAAGGCGTGCCGCGCATTTCAGGGTATGCGCCTCGCCTAGGTCCTAGGCGCAGCCCTTTCAAAAGGGGTGTGGCACAACGTGGACTTGTTTGGGCTTGCCTCGAGGGGCGTGGCACAAAGCCGGCTCGTAGAATCAGGAATATAATATGTTTTACATTACATTAGCTATGCGAAGTACTGCAATTGAGTGAGAAAAGAAATTAGAGGTTTTACATGCTTGAAAATGTTTTGTATGTTTGATTTTATTTTTAAATTCTCATTTGAATATGCTTTACATCTTATGTTTATGTATTTTAATTTTAGATAATAGGTTTTTTAAAACATTATTTTAAAATTTTAGTTTATATTTTTTATTAATATTATGTTTAATATTTTTTTATTCTTTTTTGAATTTTCTGACATTTTTCTTTATTTTTTAGCTTTTTTTTTTATTTTTGCGCCTTGCGCTTTTAAAACACTGGCTATGCTGTATGGAGCAGAGTGTTAGGCTGTCAAGAAACAACTTCTCTAAAAATTGAATGTGGCAGAAAGAGATGGATGAGTGGAAAAACTAGAAAGGATAGGATTAGAAATGATGTCATTCAAAGGAACCTAGGAGTAGCTCCAATAGGTGATAAATGACCATCAACAACACTCGTAAGAAGTGACTTGTTGCAAGTTGAAGGGGCTAGAAGGGCTAGGGTAGACCAAAAAGGACATGAGTAGTAGTAGCAAATGATTTAAGTGCCAATAATTTAAAAAGATATGGCATTAAACAGTACAGAAAGGCGGAACAGGGTTCATATAGCTGACCCCATATAGTTGGGATAAGGCTTGGATGATGATGATGACTGTTATTTAGGTTTTCTTGAGTTATGCTATTTGATTTGATGAGGAGGATACTGTCTGATTTTGTCATCTAAGTTTCTTGCTTTTCTAATAGAAAACCGTTTTAACATTTCCTGGCCCAATGGCAGGTTTTATTTCTTATGTACTTATAATTGCTTGCTTTTGACTACAGTGTTTTAATATTTTTTTTTCTTTTTTCTTGGGGTGCATATTTAAAACGTGATACACATGCAATTTGTTACCAAGACCTTATTAAAAACGAGAAAGTAGGAGCCTGTGGAAGGTAAGGCCATGTTTGGTTCGCTGCTCTAGGCCTCAATTTTTTTAAATTCTTGCCATGGGCCTGATTCTTTTCAGAATGAATAATCAACCCATAGCATAAAAGTTGAGGTAGCCTGCAACATGAAAAATAATCATGCCCCATCTTGCTCATTTTCATTCTATAAAGAAATTGTATTCCAATGGTCATAAACTGCCGGCCTAGGTCTACAAAACCACCACCATAAATGTCTATTGGCAGATTGCCATGGAAACTTGTGCCAGTGGGCATTGACTGCCAGCCATCCACCGGTAAACATCTACACCGATGATTTTGGAGACCTAAGCCAGCGGTTTATGACTGCGAACACATTTTTTTTTAAGAATGAAAGTGAGCAACATAAGGCACTTGCCAGTTTGAAAATAATTCATTTTTAGGAAAAAAAGTGTTTGATTCATAGCAATATTTTCTCATTCTACCAATTCTTATCCATTTTATAATTCATCTTGGGTAAGAATGAGAGTTGAACCAAACATGGCGTAATTTACTGATAGCAATAATACACTCTTCCTTCATTTTCAATGAAAATTACTATTTCCCAAAAAAAAAACTCCAAAACTAAACTTGTTTTGACAACACTTATGAGATGCCTAATATGGCATTGGCAAGGGATTTTTCTTGTGAGTTGGGGAAGGAAGCCTAATCTACGATGACCTTCTTATTGACAAATAGAGTCTAGATGTGTGATAAGAAGCCTAACCTTGCTCCTTTTGCTTTTATATGTTTGTGTTTCTCTCACCTCTTTGTTGTTTTCATTTATTTGAGCTCTTTCCTATTTTTGTAGGCACAGAGTCTTTCATCACGAAGTTGTTCCAGGCTTTAGAAGATGGTTCAATTGTGGTGTCTGGTGAGAATTCAGATGCCATCAAGCAGGTTGAACCACCGAATTCGTTCATATCAGAGGATCCAATAGAACGCAAAATTTCCTCTCCAAATACTGAGGGACTTTCTCCTTCTTCTTGTCATGCCAGTGATACTGAAGAGAAAGAATTCAGTGATGATGACGATGATGATCGCAATCATAAGCATCGCAGGCGGGAAACTAGATCTCAGTCTTTTGACAAATATGGACAAGAGCAACTTTTAAGTAGGCCAAACAGAAAGCGTAACAAACCTTTTGAAAATGGGCAGCTGTTCCTGGAAGGTGATCCTCAGTCAAGTGAAGTCCGAAAACAGTATAACCCTACTCCTCCAGAAAGAGACTTCTCTGCAAAATTTGAGAAAAGACGTCCTAGTGTAGCAGCATTGTCTCGTCCTCCTTTGGATTTAGGTCAGAGGACCAAAGTGAACCCGCCATTGCGTGGTGACCCTGGTACTCGTTTTGATTTATCATCTGTAGGTCGGCTTCCCATAGGTAGAGGAAGAGGAAGGAGTTCTGGCCCCTGGAATCAACATGATTCAAGATTCAGCTCTGTGGACACACTTGATTTTGCATCACAAATGGCTCCTCAGGGACCTACTCCTGGTCTATTTCCTGGACGGGGGTTGCCAAATGCTGCTAACACACAGAATGCATCTTGGGGTGCATTTGGGTTAATTCCAGGGATGTCTAATGGTGCTCTAGATACACTCCATCCACTTGGTTTGCAAGGAACACTTAGATCACCATCCTTGAATATTGGCATGCCTCGCCAACGATGTAGGGACTTTGAGGAGCGAGGATTTTGTCTAAGGGGGGATATGTGTCCAATGGAGCATGGTGTAAATCGAATTGTTGTTGAAGATGTTCAGGTATAATTTCATTTTCAGTTGTTTTCTGTGATTTCTTGAGCTTCCTTTTTAATATTAATTGTGTTTTTACTGCTTCTTCCGTCCTTTCTCACCCCAAATATTCTAGGTAGAGAGGTGCTGTCTTTAATTTTACTAGTGGGATGTACATTTAAATGTTTACCTATAAAAGGAAGGGGGAGGGGGGATTAGATGCTACCAGTTCTTAACATGAGGAAGAGGAGTCCCTGTTTTATAGTTGCTACGTACCATTTTCTAAATCTGGTTTAGGTTCTATTTTTTCCTAATTGAGGTAATTATTCTTGTCTGATCAGATTAATTATCAAATGCTAATCTTGAAAATCGCTTTAGTAAGGTCTATTGCATTGTTGCCCATCACCATCCTAGACTGCTTTGAACATAGCGCAGAGTAACAGCAATGGCTTTTTTTTTCTTATGCTTTTTTACTGTGTTGAATGCACCGTACTGGTAGCAGGTTTAACAATTTATTATTATTATCATATAACTGGATCATGATGTCTTGTGCCTTTTAGTTGTCACCTGAAATGTTTTTCCAATCACATATAAACCTAACCTGTATGTCATTGGAACTGGCTTTTAGATGCCTTTGATGCATGATTTGACAATTACATACTTTTCAATATTAATTCTATAGATCTAGCTTGAATGGGAGCTAAATGGCTCTTTCAATGTGTCACAAGTTCATCCATTTTCCAATGATTACCCATCTGCTGGGCAGCCTGGACTGTTTTACAAAAAATCTTAGCTTATGTATGATCCTGCCTTTTTGTTTATATATAATAATCTTTAATGCAATGGGTGGTAAAAATTCCATACTTGGTTGACTAAGATTCAACTGTCTAATGCCATTTGGGCCTAGAGCCTAGTTGCAGGTCATTGATAAAGAGGTAGTTGATGATGCAAATCTCTCTTGTTGCACATAAGACCTTGATGGAATGTCTTTATAGCTATTTTTCCTATATTAATTAAAATCTGGGATTCATAAGAAGAATAAGCTTTATTTGGGATAGAAGTTTGTTCTTGTCTGTAACTAATTGTTAATTTTGCAAATTACAGAGCCTCTCACAGTTCAATTTACCTGTTTCTCTTCCAAGTGCATGCCTACTGGGAATGCCAGCTGGAACAGGACCTTTACCTTCTGTTAGTGCTCCAAACCTGTTTATAAACAGCAAAAATTCACATGGTAAAAGTGGCAAGTCTGGTGCAGCTGATGATGGATTAAACTTGAATGGTGTGTTACCTGTGTCTGCTGGTTCTGGCGAAGCTGACCTTTATGATCCTGATCAACCTTTATGGAATACTGACCGTCCTGAGACATCAAGTGCACTTCTAAAGCTTCCTTCGACCAAGATTCATGAAGCTGAAACCTTATGGGACAATGATGCTTCTGATTGCCACAATTTAAGGTTAGCTGATGGTATTGATAGTGGTAGAAGCATCACGACCAATATTGGGTCACAGAGTGCAACTTCTTCTGTTTGGGGACGGATTCGGAATTCTGGAAATAAATTAGAAATGTCTGGAAAAAATGACAGTACAATAACTTCTACAAGTTATTTTGGGAATGAGGTGAAAGACCTAGAGGAGGGGTTACCTGCTGTTCCAATTAATGAGCATCAAGAGAAGCAGATAGTCACTGATGATATTGTACCAAAAGCTATGAACTCCTCTGCTGCAGCAAAACGAAGTGATCCTGCACGTAATGCTGGGCGAACATCTCAGAAAGCTTCCCGTACTCTTTTTGTCAACTGTATTCCCCTAAAAAATAACAAGCGGGAGGCTCTTCTTTCGCATTTTCAAAAATTTGGAGAGGTTATTGATATTTATATTCCAGTGAATAGTGAAAAGGCTTTTGTCCAGTTCTCTAAAAGAGAAGAGGCTGAGGCTGCTGTAAAGGCACCTGATGCTGTGATGGGTAACCGCTTTATAAAGTTATGGTGGGCTAATCGGGACAACATTCCTGATGATGGTATAAGCAGTGGCAACACTGTATCTGCTGCTCCCCGTGGCATGACAGCTGCTTCTACTCCACTTTTGTCATCTATTGCTGAAATAGGAAAGGAAAATCTCCTATCTGCAGCTTCTAAGGTTAGTGCTTCAGTGGCTCCTGATGTTCCTGCAGGGGCCTCTGTTAACCCTAAACCTGTTGTGACAAATGGCGCCAAATCTACTGCTCATCTGCAAAAGAAACTGGAGAGTTTAGAGCTTCTGAAAGAGGAACTCCGCATAAAGCAGGAAATGCTCGACCAAAAGCGGAATGACTTCCGGCGCCAGTTAGATAAACTTGAGAAACAGGTAACATACACGTCAGAATTTTATCTTTATTTGTTTGAACCTTAATGTTTCACATGACTGGAAGCCTATAATTAAGATCTGGTCGTTTCTTTGAAAACATGTATTTTATCTGCTATTTTAACTGGATATGGATATTGTACCAGCTCTACAGGTTGTCATTAGGTGTATTATACATGCCCTGTATCAATACATTGTGGGATTGCCAATATAGATGTATTAATTCATATAGCTAAATTTAGATAAAGCTGTTGTTTCAACTTCTGTCTGGGTTGGTTATGCCAATTCTTGCAAGTTACAAAACATTAGCTCCTGAACCATGGTTTTAAATTTTGGTAATATTTGGGGAAATGATGGATTCTTTGAAGGGAAGGGTAAGAATAAAAATAAATAATTCTTTCTTGATTTATGAGTGGAATTATGTCTATTCATGTAAAACTTTTATGATTTTGTCTTAATATTCCCCTAAAATTAATCAATTGATCTACTTATAATATTTTTTTATTTTTGAATTAAATGAATTATAATAATAAAAAACTGTATGGAAGGGTTCAACTAATTTGCTTGTTTTCTGGTGTTTAGATATTTTTACAGAGCTTTTAATTAATGTATTTGGCATTGTCTTTCATAATCTCTAAGATCTTTTATCTGGGTTGATAATTTATTATAAGGAGCACAATTAATAAACTATTTATTTAACACCATGCCATGTATAAGATGAGAGAAGAAAGGAAAAAAGAATGGGTAATTTGATCTAACAGTACCACACACTTATCTTTAATTAGAGAGACTCTTTATATTAATAGAATTATCCCAATTTACAAAAAGCACCCAATGGGGCTGGTATTACATTAAAGTCCCTAAATATAAATTTTCTTCCTAAAGTACTTCCATTCCATTGTTCATAAAATTTGAATATATTCCAAAACTCCTCTCAAGCTAGCACCAACTAATAATGTAACCTTTGTAGCAAACCAACCAATTGATTTTCTAGTGCCTTTTCCAAATATGGCAACTAAAAGATTTCCACATTGCAGCAGCTAACTCTTACATCACACCCACAGGGATCCAATCAGCTTGATTGTAGTCACGATAGCACTTTTAGTTCTTACCCATGTTGAGACATATCTACAATTGCATATGTGATAATCATGGTGGTTCACAGCTCTTAAAGACATGGCCGTGATGGCATTTAGGGCTGTACACAGGTCGGTTTGGTTCAATTTCACTTACTTTTTTCAACCGAACCGACACTTTCGGGTTGATTATTTAGTCAACCGAAATCAACCCATAAAAATGTAAAATCGTTAAACCAATTTTGAATTTTTTTGGTCGGTTTAATCGGTTAATCGAAGGAAAGTGTATTATGTATTTTACTGTCAAATGTCAAGTCTTCAATTTATTATTTCTCTGTTTTTAGGATTCCGGTTAGGGAAGCCAAGAAACTAGAGAAATTAATGAGAAAGTTTCTTTGGGAGCCAGGGGAGGAAAAAAAGGATCACTTAATAAATTGGGGATTAGTGTGTAGGAGGAAAGAGGAAGGTGGATTGGGACTGGGGAATTTAGTTTTGAAGAATAAAGCACTCCTAAGAAAATGGTTGTGGAGATGGCCCCTAGAACAGGAGAGACTTTGGCATGAGGTGATAGCTAGCATACATGGCAGTTTGGGCAATGGATGGGATGCTGGTGTATCGCGTCGAGCCACTTTGGCAACTCCTTGGAAAGCAATTCAGAATATTCTTCCTCTTTTCCTCAACTGTATCAGGTATGATGTCAATTCTGGTACTTCTGTTTTGTTTTGGGAAGATATCTGGGTGAGCAATTCTGCCCTTAAGGACAGTTTCCCTTCTCTCTATTCCATTTCTTGCTACAAGGGTAAAACAATTTCTCATTTTCTTCCAACATCTATTTCTCCATCTTCCATGAGTTGACACTTTCAATTTCGTAGGGGTTTGAGGGATCATGAACTCTCTCATGTTTCAAACCTGTTGTCACTGCTTGAAAGTGTTTTTCTGGACCTTTCCAGTTCTGATGTGAGACTTTGGTCTCCAAACCCAAAAGGTTACTTCACATGTGCTTCCTTTTTCAAGTACCTTTGCTCTCCCTCGGGACAAGTGGGCTTCCCATCTAAGGAGATTTGGTCAAACCTGTACCTCCTAAAATTATTATGTTATGCTGGGAGGTTTTCTTTAGGAAAATCAACTCGAGTAAAGCTTCATTAGTCATATTCGCAAGGTACCCTCTACAAGATGAGCTCTTCGTGGCTTCCGCGGGAGTTGGCGGCCAACGGACTGCACGAACGCCCCTGCCGGTCGAGCCTTCCAAGGCTCTCGTGCGAGCTAGTGACCTAAAGTTAGTAGTGCTGCCCCCATAGGTCGAGCTCCTAGTAGCTTCTTGTAGGAGTGAGTGATCGGCGTCACTAACGAGGCTGATGCAGCGCAATCGTAGCTCTATAGTGCCGAACTGATAAAAGACCTCGGCACCACTTGGCATGGGCAAAATCAAGGAGAGTGGACTATGAGTCGCTCCTAGAGCCTAAGGGCTAAAGTGCCAAACTGATAAAAGACCTCGGCACCGCTTAAGACCCAATCGCCTCTTCGGCATGGGCAAAATCAAGGAGAGTGGACTACGAGTCTCTCCTAGAGCCTAAGGGCTAAAGTGTCGAACTGATAAAAGACCTCGACACCGCTTAAGACCCAATTGCCTCTTCGGCATGGGCAAAATCAAGGACAGTGGACTACGAGTCGCTCCTAGACCCTAAGGGCTAAGGTGCCGGGCTGATAAAAGACCTCGGCACCACGTGGGACCCAGTCACCTATTCGGCATGGGCAAAATCAAGGAGAGTGGACTACAAGTCGCTCCTAGAGCCTAAGGGCTAAAGTGCCGAACT